GTGTCTTTGAAGTAGATACACATTTACATGGAGGGGCATTTGGTATTACATTATCACTCTGGATAGAAGCAAGGTAAAATTTAAGAAGTAATGAATATTTATAATAGATAAGGAAAACAATCATAGGTATCCTACTTACCAAGCAAAACTCAATATTTTAACAAACAAAACTTTCAAGAAGCAACTTAGACTTTGAAAGAGCTTGCAACTTTCAGGTAACAATCGTGCTTGGAATTTCATATAACTCATTCTACAAATAGCTGTAACAAATTTTTTCTACATTAAACAGGATATTACATTTGATAGGAAACCATTGTGACATTAGTTGGATTCCCTTTGTTCCAAGGATTTTTTTTTGAAACAAATCACTGACCACATTCAAAAAATCAGCAGCTGAACACAAGGTTCTAAACACATTTTCCATCCTAGAAGCAGGATATCAATGGTAGAGTATTATTACCATCACCCTCAGCTACAACACTCTGAAGTATAAGTCCCAGTTTATTTTTGTGAAAATAAGTGGGGACACAGCCTTGAAAAACAGGCAAGAGTTTGAATACATACTAAACCTAAATGAGCATAAAAATAATATTCCTCATGGGATGCTTCTGTACCCTTCTAAACTCTGAAGCTAAAATTATCTCCAAAGTTTTTTTATAACCTTCATAAATGCATGGGATTTCTGCTGACAAACAGCTGAAGTCCCTCCCAGGCAACCAGCATGCTTACACTAGACACTCAGGAATGCACATACCTACTCTCAAAACTAGAAAGTGCCATGAGCTCTTAGAGCCTAGTGGTGTACTTCACTCACACAAAAGGTTAGACCAAGGTTTAATATCTATGTTAAGGAACATTGCTTAGTCTTTAAAATAGGTCCTACTACCAATGTTCATCCCATTGCATCTGCTACAAATTTTGCTTCTAAAAATATCAGCACCTTTTGGTGGGCATGTGTCTGAAAAGAGAGTGGCTACACACACTTAAAAAAGAAAATTTGCAGGAGACTAAACAGCAACAGCAGGAAAAAGTAACATTCTCCCTACATGCTCAATTTAGCACTGTTTAAATACTGGGAGGGATGTGATTGATTCAGAACAGACAATCCAGCCTCATCTCTGACATGTGCAACAGAGGTCACATCTCTGACCTATGTAACACAGAGTAAGGCACACTTCATAATCTTAAGGGTAGCCATAACACTGATGTGTTTGAGATTATACCATGAAGATACTGTGACAGCAGGAAACCCTGGAAATTGACACACTGCTTTTCCTCACACTCCCACTAACTAACAGAATTTAAACTCTGCTAGCATCAATGAGCAGCATGGTATGATTAGCTCTGATTTAAAATAATTTTACAACAATAAAATTTAAAAGGTGTATCTCAGGTAGCACCCGAGAAAAATGTGGCTTAAATAAGCACATGTATTTTCATTGAAAAAGAACCCCAAATCACAGAATCACAACACAAGCTGTTCTGTACTTTATTGCTGTCTGTGTAAAGAGGCCTCAATGAAATTTTTGGTAATGTGCTTTAGAACAGGTAAATACATTTTCATTTGCTATTCCCATTCTAATACAAAACTAAGAATCCTTACATAAATATAGTTTCAAACCTTTTCAAACTAAATGGGACAATTGACCAATATATTTTTTTGCATAGTTACATGATTCTAAAGGTTAGACTAYGCAATAAAATGATGGTGCAGCTGTGGAAAACCATCCCAGCTGTGTGGTTTTGTTCCAGGTATTGTTACCGTAATAACTTATTCCTACTTTGTTACCTCATGGCCATTAATGAATTTTAGGTACATGCTACTGCCACACCTTCATTTCAATAACCTAAGAATGCCCACGTAGTGCCTCCAGTTMATTTTTAAACTTTCAGCAAAGCAACAATTAAGGAATTATTTATTTCTTTTAAATAATACTTTCCCACGTAGACACAGTATACTTACCCCATGTTCCCTATTAAAATTCTCMAAATAATAAAACCCAGAGATTAAACAAATTATAAGAGTTATTAAAACACTCACAGACAGTACAAGAAGCTAAAATTTCAAGCCACCGGTGTGGCAAAAGAGCTCACCCTCCCCTTTGCTGCAGCTGTTCCAAGCATCCCTGCGAGGCGGTGGGTGAAACGGCGTGAAATCTGGGGCAGGAGGGCTGATTCCCCCGGGCCCGCCTTGAGCAGAGAGAGAACTGAAGTACCAGGTTGCCTTCCGCAACAAGACCCCCAGGCGGAGAGAGGGGCCAGGGCCGCCCACCCTCCTGCCCCGCCGGGAGGGGCGGGTTGTGGCTGTGAGGGGGTCAACTCCTTGGAACAGCCCCCCGTGCTGCAGGAAATCCGCAAGAGATGGTTTACCGGCAGGGTTCATTCCCATCCCACTGAGCTGACAGTTCAGTTGAAAAGTATTAATCTGGGCTCTGAAAGCTTGTTAAATAAAGAATTTTACCCTTAGGCTGAATGTAGAGAATAAAAGAAAAAAAAAAAAAAAACAAACAGGGGTGGGGGATAGAAGGCGAGGGGGTGAGGCAGTGTTGCACAAGCTTATCAGTGCCCACTTGTGCAGAACATGTCCTTGCAAGAGCTGTGTATGAAGAACTACTACTATTTATATCTGTAACACTTCCAAGTTGATGCAAATCTCTAGACAAGTTTACTAACTGAAAATTACCTGCTTAAAACCACAATACTCTTATTTTCTGGCCAGCTTTTCCTCCTATGTTGAAGGACCCTCAACATCAACCACACTTTTTAAAGAGTTTTCTAAAGCTAAAACTCTTAAACTAGGAGTGGAGAGAAATAAATACAGTGTGCAAAGAGTCGACCCAAATGGCTGTAAGACCTTCATTGAGGCACCAGTTTAACATGCAGCAGCATGGCTTATTGATGGGAAGTAAAAACAGGAGGTATAACATCAATGAACTTTGAAGCTAACAAAGTTYAAGCAGATTACTTTATACTGACAATACAATCATATTTTCCCTGAAACAATTATTTGCAGTTTCCTTATTTAATCCTTTCATAATTACTTCAGATATTCATCTTAACATTCACAGAAACAAATATATGCAGTACTCACTCATGCAAACAGTTCCAGCAAAAGCAACAAGCTCACAGCTAAAGACTTCCAACGTGACTAAGTCTGCTTGGATCAGAATCTTTCTCTGCTTACTACTCAGCAGTAGTCAGGCACAAAAACATTTCCCCATTAACACATGCAATCCCACTCACTTCCCGGTCTCTTGACCTTTCCTTCCTTTGGTTTACTGACAGTTCCTCTTTTTCCAGGGAGCACTTGCACTTGTCCACAATGCACTACAGTGGCAATTCTCGAAGACTTTGAGGTTTCTTCAAGAAACAGACTGACTTTCCACGCCGTATGCATGGGAACACAAAACATCACTGAGGAGAGTATCTTCACTCTCAGCTGTTCTACCTCAGCAGCTTAAGTGTATGCAATATGTGCTCTGCTCCGGTTTGGATTCTTTCTACCTTTCCAGCATAAGCTATTCTGAGGCTTTACAACTGAAATRCCAGTTTTACCCAGTAAATAACTGACTCACAGTCATGGGTTGGAAAGAGCTGAGGTATTTCTACCCTCCACTAAGTTTTGACTTTCTAAAGAAAAAATTATAAATAGTCTAAGGGGTAAGGGTGGCTATCTGAATTGATTTTGTGTTCCTATGTTCCTACTTTTAAATACTTACATGTGAAAAACACGTTATAGACTTTTAAGCAATACAATCACTGATAGAGTATTAGCACAATTAACAATATCATCAGTAAACTTTTCCATGTATATTATTATTTGAAAAGTATGACTTCTGTGTACTACAATGCATGGTCTACAATAGTTTGAATAACTGAGGTGCAGGTGATGTTTGCTATCAAATTTTGACTTCCCATGCAGTTAGAGTAAAATCTCCCACACTTTTAATCAGTAATACAAACAGCATGGGGGGGGGGGGAAGATCAGAATATTAGTTTAAATTATAATCCACACCATTTCCTCCCTGCCCCATACTGAAATGAATAATGAATGAGCTGGGTCATGATTGCTTTCAATAAGTATGTTAGAAATCTTTAAAACAATGAATGAGAGTAAGACAGTCATCAAAGGTCTTCCTAACAATGCCACATGCTTATACAACCACATACTATGCATCTTTTTTACGCATCAGCATACCAGGAACCGCATAACCAAAAGTAGCAAAGTACCAAAGGTACTTGGGGTTTATGTTGCAAAACTTGATATGCAAACAAATATTAACCGAGAATTGTAAGTATTTATGTCTGGAATCCGAGAATTTAAGCCCAGTCTTCACCATGCGTCTGGGCAGAAGTAAGATTTTCAGACTGGAGTGTCACCTTACACCTCCCGCCAACTCTGTCACGCAGCAGCAGYTCACCCAAAACGTCAGTGACTCCAAGAGGTTTTTCAACAAGYGGAAGGTCTAGGATTTTGTTGTCATCGTCCTCCCACGCCTCCCTCGCCGCTTCGTTCCCGTGCCCAGTTACTCCCCGGAGCGCTTCTCAGCCCGCCCTCCCTCCGCGCTCCGCAGCGCAGGACCCCGCATTGAGGCGCCTGCGGGGCGCGCCCCAGCTGCCAGGGCCGGCATAAGCCGCAGCCCAAGGGCCGCTGCCCCGTCCCAGCGCCGCTGCGAACGGCGGAGCCGGGCCAGGATCGCTCCCCGCCGGGCAGTCCCCGCTCCGTGGCTGGAGCGTAGCCCGTGGGCTGCCTCCGCTCATCAGGTGTTTCGCATCTCCCTGCAAATGCAGTTGGTCCCCGTGCAGCCTGCCCTCCAGCAACCCTGAAGACTGAGGCACTGTTTAAAAAATCCTTCCCCCACTTTTAAAGAAGCCCCCGCTTCAAAAAGCGTTTCGTACATCTTTTCCTTGGTGGAATTCTCAAGCTGTCCGTTCAAAGGGACGCGCAGCCACATGGACAAAGGACCAAGCTGGCATCTACAGCAGGAGCACGGGCTTACCTTTTCTTCCCCCCCGTCGGGCTCCTCCTCGTAGTAGCCCTGGCCGGACTCGTAGGCGGCGGCAGCGGCTGGCTGCCGGGGTCCCAGGAGCACGGCGCCGGCAGCGAGGCAGCAGCCCAGGGAGAGCACCTCCAGCAAGTGCATGGTGCAGAGATGGCAGAGCGAGCGGAGTGGGGCCGCGGGGCAGTCGGAGGAATGCAGCCGAAATTATGAGGCTCCTTCTTTTCCTCTTCCTCCCTTCTTTCGCTGTCCTTTCCCCCCTCCCTCCCCTCGCAATATCCAAGGCAGTAAAATCCGTGGGATTGAGAAGATGCGGTAGCAGCAGCTCCTATGCGCCTGCAGGGTAGTTTCCAACTTTCCCAGCCGCTTTGCAAATTCTCACCAAAGTTATCCAGAGTTTGCCAGGTAAAAAACCCACCAGGAAACCGGACATCCGAGGCTGCGCTCACTCAGGAGCAGGGGAGGTGGAAAGCACAGAGAGGAGGAGGAGGAGGGAAGGGAAGGAGGGAGAGAGAAAGCCAGGGAACAGCAGAGCGGGACCGAGCGGCCGGTCGCACACGGGGAGTTCCCTTGGCGCGGGCCGGGCCAGGCCGGGGGCTCGAGCCGAGGGGCCCCGCTGCGCTGCGCCCGCCGAGCTATGTGCAGACGCCTGTCAGCAGCGGAGCGGCCGAAGGGTGCGCGGCGCCTGGGGCTACGCGGCGGCGGCCGCGCATGGCGAAAGCGCCCTCTGCCTGCGCCTCTGCGCGCCGAGGGGGGCCGGCGGCCTCCTTCCTCCGCCTCTGCCTCTGCCTCCTCCTCCGCCCGGCGCGGCTGCTGCCGCGGCGGCGCCGCCGGCCGCTGGCGCCCCGTGGAGACCTCGCCCCGCACCGCGGCCCTGCCGGGAAGGGGAAGCGAGCGCCCCCGGTCCCGCAGAGCTGGGCTCGTACAGCCCCGAGCTTCGGTTCCACGAAGATGAAGCCCGCGGTAGATGCCGGCCCCGAGGAAAAACCGAAGTGCCCCGTTCATTTCATTTGGCTCGGAAACCAAGGGATGAAGTTCGGTAAAACACAGAGAAATCATGTAAGAAAATTTTTGTGAGTCTTAATCAGTTACTTGCTGAGCAGTGTTGGCAGCTTCACTTAAAACAGTATGCAGCTATTTTTGACTGGAGAAAAAAAAAGATTTTGCCATCTTAGAAACAGTAATCCAAAKAGCACCATAATTATTTGTAGCCTTCCTATCAGTGTCATCTTGGAGCCGTCTTCGAAGAGAAGTAACATTCCATTCAGAATCCTAAATAAAACTGAGCACAGATCCTGTGTTCCAGTTACACTGTGATTAAAGTTTTTTTTAAAAAATGCACATTGCTATCAAAATAACACACTACAGCCTGCTCAAATCTCAGCTAAGCAAAAAGAAAATATTAAATTCCCTATATTCTTATTTTTTGCTCGATTATCAAACCTTGTGTAAATATTTTAAAAGCTTTTAATTTGTTTTCTGCATCACTTGTGTACATCTTATGGTAATTAGACTGTATGGGAGCCAACTGTGGGGGATGATCCCTGACTGCCTTGACTAGATGCTGGCAGTCTGCTCATGTTACACTACTCTTATTCTTTGGGAATCCCATTATGTTACTATTCTGGGAGTGACATAAAGGTGTCTCTAATCTCCCTCTGCTACCTCCTGGGTATTTTTTTTTAATTATTTTTATCATTTCCAAGATGGTATTTCAGCATGCTGTTACTCAAATAAATCTTTTGATGCTAGAAAATAATCCCTTCATTTGCAATCAGAATGAAGTCTAAAGTTCAAATAGAGCTGTACCTTAAGAGGTTGTATAGTCATTAGAAAATTATTGAAGCACTAACATTTTTAAACACCTTCACAACAGAGTAAGGCAATGAAATAAAAACAGGGGTAGAAGTTAAGCAGAACAGCTATGAAGATATAAAATAGCATACATAAATAAAAAAGCCCATTGTTCTTCAATGGACCCTTGGAGCGCTTCAGAGCAAAGCGTAGGATTAAAGCCTAAAGAGAGCATAGTCCAGGATGCAAAATCCATCTAAATAGAAATACAGCATTACCGATTTGAGTTTAAACATACTAAAATCTCTCAAAAGTACCAAAGACTGGTATAGAAAGGAAGTTCTTTTGTAGCACTTTATTAAAACCTGCCTGACAAATCATGCACAGATAAAATTATTTCAATAACTGAGTGCCATGCAACGATAAGCTGCATAACTAAATCACAAAACAGTGCCACCTAACTAAATCACAAAACAGGATGAAACATATCACTCCTGCTGTGCCATCATAATATCAGCTGGTATCATTATTTATTTCCCCAGTTCTCCAGCACTTTCATTCTTCTCCCCACAATTCRTAGAACATCCATCATGGGATCAAAGGCTTTTATGTAATAGAGCATTTCCACCAATGGCCCGATATAGCAATTTTAATGTGTCATAATTGAAAACTAGTAATCATAGTCATGGTGGTCAAGTCTCAGTCTAATCAGAAAGTTTTAAAAAGAAAGTGGTTGAAATCCATGATACTTTATATGTTCTGTGTACAAACATAAATATTCCATTGGCTCTGGGACACTAAGGTTTTCCTTAGTCTAGACTGTATTTCTCTCCATCCCATGAAAGATGGCTAATTTAAAGGTTTAGAAATTAAAATATATTTCATCCTTTCTCCACCACCTAATGGTTAATATTTCTCCTCTTGCCTTCAAATTAAGTAGAAATCAGCCTAGAGGACAATTAATTTAAAATTCTCAGTGACACAGTGTACACAAATAGTAAGATGACCTTACAAAAAAACAAATTACTAAAGAGATATCCTAATAGCAGGTCTGGGTCTTACCATCCTATATGCTTCAATGACAACAATAAAAAATCAAGAAATTTTTCCTGTCTCAGAAGAGTCCTTCAAATAAATTCTTTTGATACTGTTTTAAGAATGTGTTTAAAAAATCCAGGCCCCAATCCCTCGTTCAAGTTAGTGTAACATGCATCTGCCAAGCACACTCCTATCCTGTATTAGACATACCTGAAGTGTTCCTTTCACATACAATCTGCTTCTGAAACATGGAGGCGTYTCAGCAACTGCTTCCTATCCATTTRTTAGCAGTGTGAAAATTCACTACAAGAAATGTGAGCTGAGACTGGGAAAGAAGAGAGTTAAGATCAGCTAGAAAAATCAGTATCATGACTTCATAACATTAGTCTAATGTAGAATTAAATGCTAACAAATGTTGTCACAGAATGTAATTTCGATTGTTTTTATATTTAAATTACTGTGTTTGATTCAATCTCCTTTTCATTCTCTTATTAAATAGACAGAGGCACACCCAAGAGTTAAAATCAGATACCATGGTGTGGTTTTTTTTTTAATACACATATTACCTTTAATACACATATACCAGTCTTACTGGTAAGTTTCAGTGAAATTTATGTTTAAAGTAAATCTCAAAGGTAGCAAACATCACTCCCTGTGTGCAGCAACTCAAAAGACTGTGGAAGTGCCATTCTAGAGTCATCCCACTGGATGAAAACACTAAGTAAGCTTTCTTAGTTCCTCTACAGATAGTTCTCCACCATACTTCCTCTCATGCTTAAAAAAATAAATTGGATATTGATCAGTGTCTAAAATATCAATATCTGGTGTYGATACTCCAGATGATCTGGTGAAAATTAGTTGTAAATATTAAGGGGAGGGAAAAAAYAAAATAAAAGAAAAATAATTCAGATTCAGTGCCAAATTGAACAGAACAACTGCTCACTGATGCATTTTCTGCCATTGAATCATTCAATCCAAAGCATTATTAGACAATTCTTATCATATTGCTTATCTACTCAGAGTAACCAGCTTTACAGAAGACTTACCTACAGAAAAAGGGAGCTAGAGTGGATTTAAGGTTGTGATTCACTTCTCTAAATTTCCTTTATATATTAAATATAGTTTAATGGAAATATTTAGGAGTACCACCAGTTTTACTGATTGTGAGAGTAACATCCTTCCTCACTCATCAAAAACACATTTTAAAACCTCTATTTTTCTTAGTATGCACCCTCATTTAGTATATCCTTACACAGTACTAGAAAAGGGTCTAGGTGACAAGTCATGGTGACTTGGAGATTATCAACAGTAACTGAAATATTTTCTTGACTTTGATCAGGCATTATCACTGTAAACCTTAACTTATGGGAAACAGTTCTGCAGCAAACTTCCCGCTAGGACCCCTGAAATGTAGTTTTATCCATTCTTTTACATTATTGCCAGGACAAATAACTTCAATGTGAAAGACCTCATTGCTACAGAATCATCTTTTGTAATGCTTGACCTAGTAGCCTTTGTTATCTAGAGCTTTGTTATCTAGAAATTTCTTTTTTGTTTAGTATAAAAGTTGGTCCCTTTTTAAAATTAATTAATGGACAAGAATCTATAGAATTAATATTTTTGACACCGGTTGATATTCAAGGATTACAGGATTATTGGGATTTCTTTGTTCTCAGAGATTCCCTTTTTAAACTGTTAAAATCAAAACCATTGGCATCTAACATTAGAATTWCCCTGTGCTACAGACTAAATGACTGCACTAGTGTAAAATCCTTTCAATCTTTGCTATAATAAGTGGTTAGTATGATGCAAAAATGGGCAGCACCAGGTGGCATCTTGAGAAAAGTATCTGAATTACCCAAAGTATATTAAATATCTCTAAAGCTGTCCTAAACTTGGAATGGAGAAAGCCCTAGCAGATGTTTTATTCAGCTGATTTATATTAGGATATTTCTCTTTACCATTGTTTTTCTTCCCTCTACTGATGTGAGGTCCCACACAAAACCAGGTATGCACAGGATATTGATTTAACATCCTGTAAACTGATAGTGTCCATTGTTATAACCTCTGACTATAAACAATAAAATGACTGATTGCAAATTTATGCTCCCTCTTAACTGAAAGCTGTGCACAATCTAAACTGTGTATAGCTGAAGCCATGCCACTAAATAAACAATCTTTGGTTCAACAAAAAATATTAGGAGCTAACAACACATGACCACTAACCATACAAACACTTATGATACATACCTTCCTGCATTAGATTTCTAAGTGATAAGCTAAGAGACAGCATATTCAAAATCTCTTTTTTTTCCCCCAGTTATACTTAAAAAAGTTAGTAATAAAATAGGGAAAASCAGTCCCAAATCAATTTGAGAGACATTTTTGTATGATTGCTAAAACAATGGCAGAAATAATTAATTCTTTAAAGAGATGCAGTTTCCCCTACCTTTGCTCCTGCATACCTCCTCTCCACTTATACAATTGCTGCATTCCTTCTCTATTTCTTCAGTGCTTCAAGTTTTGTATTCAATATTTTGCCCATTCCAGAAATTAAGAATATGCTAAACCCTTTGAATGTAAAATGCTGAAGTGTTAAAATATTTAAAAAATTGTCAAACAGTATTGAGACCAATTTACTTCCAAACTCAGAATAGTATAAATGCATTATTGTAATGATCTTCATTTTTTTCTTAATCGGTTTTCTTTACCAAAGGCAAGAAATTTCTTTTCTCCSACTGAAAATGACCTTTTACATGTTTGAACACTTACTCTTCCTTACTTTTCTT